ATAATGCCAAATTTTACCGAGGTCAACTTGTACCAAGCCGATTGTTCAAAACAGCGTCAGGTGAATTTCCTGCTCTATTTTTTTGGATAAATCTGAATTCCAAATGAGCGGTAGAATCAAAAAGTTGACTATTCAATATTTATTATCAATATTTCAGTGAAAATTATTTTGATTAAGTGCATAATGTGTGTATTTAACTTAGTTTTGTTAACAAAACATAAAAATATAATAATTGTTCATCGATGAAATTGATTTACCATTAAAAAAGGCATTACGTCCTACTGCTGGGCGTGTCACGTTAATACGACAGTAAAACTTAACTTATAATTTATTTTGTTGTTAATGAATAAATACATTATTAGACATACTACATGATAATATATAATGAAGAGCATATTTAAATCAATATTACATAATTTATCCATCCATCCATATCAAGATATGTTAAATAATAATAAATAATTCTTGTATTGAATGAGAATTTAAATAGTAATTCATCTTTGCATAGTCAGCAAGTTAAAAGCAAATCAATCCGTGGGCGTCAATTGATTGTCCTTCGATACCCACTTGAAATGGTCGACGAGCACTCGAAAATTACCGAATACACAACAAACAGTTGGGTTTGTTAATGTTATGATGCATGTGTCGCAATGAGTTCCTCCCAAATGTAGACGTCCAATTGACCTTCTGTCAAGGACATTACAAGAAACATCGTTTTGAAACACCAAACGCGTTAATTTATTATTTCTGTAAACGCATGACTTCCGCCCTTTGAGCTGTATGTAGGAAGTGATTAAGTGCTGGAGTTTTGATAAAAAATAACAAAAGTTTGAACATATTATTCTCACGTTCACACTAACATAGGTCTGCATCGAAAATGGTAGTGCGAAGGTAAAATGTACCGTATGCGCAGTTGCTCTAACGTTGTAAATTCAATGTCCAGAAAATTAATCTCTACATACAAAACACGTTTAAGTAAATGTGTAATGGATATAATAAATGCCTATGGTACACAGTTAATATAATTATGAGTGTATCACGCGGGTATTGTTAAATGGAAGTATTTTCTATTCTCTAATTTGTTTTGTTCTTTTATTCTTCTAATCAGCGACAGTTGAGAATTTATTATTCATACCAGCTACACACATACATAGTGTTCTTGCATGTATGTGCGGGCGTATACGAACGTGGAAGTGTTTAAAACAAACATATATACTAATTAACATCCATTCAGTTGTATGGAGGCCTTGTAGAGCCGTATACATCGGCTGTATACTTACTTCTTAAAGCAGATGTGTGTACTGGAGTCGTAATTTAGATAATTTTAAAGTAAGCACTTAAAATGTTCTATTTCATACCTACTGAATATATTTTTTAACACTTATAATTTTCATCCAGGCATGCAGTAACAGATCTTGGAGTAATGAGTACCTAACTGGATTTGTCGTCTATGATAACTGACCAATATATATTTTATCAACTTATTATATTAAGTTAAATTTACAAAATTGTTTTAATAGTACGTGTAAGAGAAATACTAATATAATACTTAATTACTTGGAACCAAGTATGAAAACATGGTGTTAGTGAATAACTAAGAGATAAAAAGAGAGACTTAGAACACAACACTTTCTCTATGGACTTATCAACATTGGCACGAAATAAATATTTATCTTAGACTTGTTTGAGCATAAATTCTAAGCTTGAGCTGTGTATTTTCGTAACTAGATGGTCCAAGAGACGTGTTCGCATACTGCTACTTTCTAGAAAACTTAGCACCTCGAGAAATAGAGCTTAAAGAACAAAGATTGTATTGTTATTGCAGTGATAAGAAAACTATATATAAAATAAATTATTTGTAACTTTAAATGTTGACACAATAAGATCTGTTAATATTAAGAACCAGACTTGAAAGTTTAGATAGAGCAGCGTAAGGAGAATTGGAAAGGAATATACCTCACTTTAAGTATTTCGTGTAAGAGATTCAAAGCTAAAAAATATTCTGTGCCATTTCGTGTGTATATACCTATAGAAAAGGGAAAAAGAAGCCCTCTGGCAGTACCTACTACGATAGTATTCGTTTTATTATTTATTATATATTCATGTAGTTAGAAAAGAATTCTAACATTCTTTTGATAAGGTATAATTGATTCATTAATGGGACTTTGTACCTAAATTATATTTGGAGAGCTATTTTACTTATTTATATATAGCTGGTGATGTGAATAAAGCGAAACTTTCTTTCCATTCATTTGGTTTCATCAACCTCGCCTGTATATATTATTATATTAAACATATAACCTCTATCGAGTCCGAGGACGTTCAGTGCATTGTTAAAACAATTATATTTTGTGCCTCGTCCATCGACCGTTTATAAAAAAGACATTCATTCGAGCGTAGGCGTAGATCCATTCATATACGTCCGATTCTATGGTACGATATAGCAGTACAAATTCATTTATATGTATGTCTTGTAACTTCTTACAACTTTTCTATGATTACATAATATAATATTTTATAAAAATAAATATTTGGATTATTACTATTACTACTATTGACGTTACTTTCTAACACCAAATATTTTTAAACAACGACGTATACAAGTCAACACACTTAACATTTAAAAGTTAGCAGTGTAGGTACTGCCTGTGTATATAATGATATGCTAACAGCCTATGAGGACAAAGTAGCGGGTGACCCCATTCTGGAATGCCTAAGGATCACCCCAGATTGCAACTTGGTACAACACTACATAGTATAAAACACCGAATGAGACAAACAGAAAACCACTACGTATCGGCAAAGTAAGTAAAGATAGATATAGAAATATCTCAAATTAATAAGTAAACGTTATAATTCTCCATCACATATAGTTGCAAGACAAGAAGATAATCCACTCATGTATTAATAAAGAAGCATCACCTTCGGAAAAAACAATATTTTAAAAACTTCATTAAACAATGACTTTGTGTTCGTCTACAATTCTACAAGTTGGAACATTCTAGAATAATTTAAATAACAAATATATACGAAATTATATGTTCATGATTCTTCTTTTTTCGGTCTTTTGATGTCGACTTTTTAGTATAGAAAAGTAGGCGGTGATAAATACAATATAGATACTAAATTACCACATGCGCCCACACCCAAGAATTACAATGTTATGCAGATACCAAACTTAGAAAATATTTGTTTGTCAGAACAGCACTTTCATTCTATCTAAACTTTTGAAGAGGCATTTGCTATGTATATCTACTCTATATTATGATAGATAGGTTGTAGTCAGATACAAATAATTTAAAATATTTTTTTTATCATGCAGATAAAGTATATGTGCAATTGATTTCTGTTTGCTACAAATAGCGTTGGTTTAACTGCCAAATCTACAGACAATTACACTATTAATTACCTAGATACAGATCTAATGAGAGACTGTTATGAGCTCCTAGTACTAGAAATCTGGCAATGTCAGCATTATCAGCAAAAAATTTCATTTTATCGATATTTACGAGTTTGTATTATTCAAATAGGGTCTTCTATGGAATTGAAAATCCTTACTTGCATTCTTATAGAGAACATAATTCTATAAAAAAACCTATGTTAGTTATAATAACAGTTATTCAAGTCTCAGGCCGCTAAATTATTCAACATATTATGAATAGTTATATTTGTTTTATTTTTTACCATAACTTTCTTTATTTATATTCTTTTAATTGACTAATGCGTCGTTGCTGCAGCTTAACATATACTTTATTTGAAGTCCGGGGATCGAGACACACAATAATTTTCTAAGAAATTTTATTTGTTATAAAATTTTATCTGTAGACTACAGAACAACTGTCATCTGTAGCTATAGGTATGGTGGATAAAGTAAGTTCATATTTATTTTATATTTAATTATTAAATTCTTTAATTCAATACCTTGGATGACACGTGTTGCGTTGATAGTGAGGTAACAGATAATAGAAGTATGTAAATAATGGTTTACAAATAAATATTTTATTACATGAACTAGAATCTTCTTCATTATTTACAATTGCAAATCAAATTCTATGTATGAGATACATCTTCTTGTTATGATGAATGTATTTTGAAATTCTGATAGTCTATTTTTAAAACTATTCAGGACTTTAGATTACATACACATTGAAAGGAAACAATTAGATAATGCGTAGTATGTTTTCTTATGCCATTGGCAATGCCAAAATAATCTTATATTATAAACATTATTGTCAGTGTTACTACATTTTTTTATCATATTAGCAGCATTATTAGATTTCTCAAAGGTATAGGACTTAAGGTGCGAAATTATGTAGATACATAAGTTTTAACATGCGATGGTAAAGACTCTTTGCTGCCCTATATTATGTATATTGATTTACAATTGAATAAATTAAGTTACCTTTGGCCGTAAACTAAACAGATATCAAAATCTGTCAGACTAACTGTTGGTTACATTTAATTACATGTCAGTTAAACATCAATCCTCAACTTGTTACTAAAAGAAAGATTGTAAATTATTTGATTATTGATACTAATCCCACATACAAATTCGTTTATCTTTTTGGGTATAACAGTGGTTTTTGTATATACACAGTAATTATGTAAAAGTATGAAACAAGGAATCATCTATACATAACAATTCATGAATAAGTATTTAGATATTAAAAAGTCCAATTTGTTTACCTAAATCTCGAAACCTAAATTCCTAATCTAGTAAACATGGTACAAATCAATACTTTGATAGGATGACAGGCACTTAATTACTGAAAATCAGTAGATCAGTATTCCTATATCGGTTTAGGTTATTAGAACCTAGATGAAGGAATAAAATAAAGCATTAGCAGTTAGGTACAGATTAGAAAAATAAAGCATTTGTTATTGGTAACTTTGTAATTTGTTTTATTAGTCATTCAGAATATGCAATTAGCAACAAAGTGCGAAGAGAAAAGATATAACCTATTAACACAAGCTGAAAGCCAAGGATATACTGATTTTACCTTAACACATTGCAGGTATGGAGAATAATATCCCTGAAAAGTCCTTGTTCGCGCTTTTGGCGAAACTGTCCCCGAGTCCGAGGGCCCGCAAGACAAACAGCCTGCACAATTTCACAGAGATCAAGATGAGCACCGCAAGCCGAACTGTGTCTACAACACCCGGCACATCCACCGAACGCCGGCCGATCAAAACATAGCTCTCACAAACATTTTCGACACACAGACTCGATTTACAAAATTTATTCATCGCATCCGCCGAAAACACCTATAATTTTTATGAGCCGCACCGAAAGTACGCTAGAACGGCTGGGCCCCCGAATGTTATCGTTATCCGGCACAAATTAGCACCAATAAACTGGAAGGAAATCACCATGGGACGTTAATGCAGCTCGGCAGCCGCCGGAAAACTCGATTTCGCACGACAAACACGTGAATGCGACGCTCGCCGGCCACAGAGCCGCGCGGTAAACAGTGCGCGCGCCTCGTGAACGCACACACACATTTACATACACGTTTATTGTGCACACAGGCGCTGCAACCGGCGCGCGCATGTGCTACCGAAATAGAATATCACGTTATAATACACCAATTGAACAACGGCTACATCACATCATGCAGCGCCTTGATTGGCTAAGGGACCATTGATACCATACCTACCACAAGGCGTTCAATTTGCGATTAACTGAAAGTTTTTGATAAAATTTAACTGATATGCGACTGTGACGGACTGAAATAGTGATATATGTCGTAAATATAATCAAATGATATGAAGCTCAGCATCGCCAGCGAGATAAAGTTAATAATATGACATTCGTCCAAAATGTTTACCATACCATGCGTAATAAAGTTGGCGCGAAATCTAATCGAAACGATCGTTATCGTATACGTAGGACTCTATAGACTTCGATTATTGTGAGAATAATATATATTTATGAACCGGATAGTAAGGATTATCTTGCTCAATACGCATAATTAAACAGAAAACTCTTCGCGGAAAATTTAATATGTAGGTATATGAAAATTACATAATTCATTTCTTAACGCTCTTCTGTATAATTTTTATTCATCAAATGAAATCTTTATATCAAACTTTTAAGTGTTTAAAAACTTTTCAAAAGGTTAAAATACACTCCAAAATAGTACGTTTTCTCAACCTTCTTTTAGTCGGACAATTCAGGGTACCATGGAAATGTGTACCACCAACATTGCCTGCATTTTTATAGAAGGGGCTAGATGTACTACTACATCGTCATCATCCATCGCCTTTCTTCCATTATCGTTGGAATCGGCATAGTATGTTTGTCCCCTTTCATATGTCTCCCATCGCAGTCATGTCAGTATTAACTGTCATTCTAATCTTATTACAATATACACAGATTTGTCACTTTTTAAAATCTTTAAATCCTTATAATCATCCACAATTTAAATAATAATATTTTTTATTTACGCTCTTATTTAAAAAAATATTTTAATACTCTCACATAAGCGCCGCTTTTAAATTTCCTTTACCATGTTAATTTTTAATCCAGTATGGCCGTTGAAACATCTGCGTTTAAGCTGTATTATATTGTTGTGTTATGTTATATTATATTATTGTGTACATAATGATAATAAATTTAAAAAATAATGTTTTTTGTAACCATTGAACAATTGAATACAATTACTGCGGTATCTACTCCTAAGAACATTTTTTTTAATAAAAAAAATTGAGTGATGCGATCTAACTTCTTATAGAATTTAATTCAAACAGACACTTAAATTTATAATATTAATTAATAAGCATGGATAAATTTTGTTAATAGTCAATATTGTTTCTCTTATTATTGGTTTCTTGATATAAAGAAAGGTAGATATAGTAAATGAGTCATAATTAGCGTTAGAGAGATAGAGATTCTCCCTTTTCTTGCATGTAAATATTAGCGATTCTCCCTTTTCTTGCATGTTAATATTAATAACTAATAAAAACTCATTCGAAATTTTACTCAACAAAATACAGTTTAATATATATACTCTCACTTACATAATTCTTGATAAAGAGTGATTTAAAATTAATCTTCAAAATAATGGCCCATTATCACAGGAAGTTCGTTAATGTGTATGTTTGTATTAGGTATTAGTTTTTCCTATTCTTGAAAAAAATTGAAGTGGATTATTAGGTAGTATTTTATCGTATATTATTTTTAACAACATCATAGTTTGTAATGTGTTTATTGATTTAGATAATGATACGAATATCTGCAAAGTTATCCAAATAAATCTAATGATATCTATCAAATGATAGTGATCAATAAATATTTTTTGGGAAATCAGTCGTTAAAATTTCCTATAGTTCCGGGTTATTGAATTATTGAAGTACTTATTTATTCCCATCACAATAGTTATAACATTATACTCACATGAATCGTAATAATTCCATTATAAAATAAATCAGTAATTGTCTATTATATAATTTGTTATACCCAATAGTAATAATTTATTATCATTATTTATTGATTTCGAATTATATAATAATATCTAATAATAGCTTTATTCTTTTTATGTATTTTAAAAAGTACATATGTATTAATTTTGTTTTTCTCTATTTTCACATGTATATTTTTCTTTTCATTGGTTTTGTTCAACAGTTTGTCTTAAGACAGACACTTCATTGAACACCATGCTTTCCACTGACCAACGCTTTACTTCACCGTCCTGATCATACTATTATATCGTTTTTAAATTGTATAATATAAATGAGATAAGTACTTGAACTTAAACAGAAAATTATGTGCATAATATTAATGTCAATTATGAGTTTATTTTATTCAGATTTTTTTTTTATCTCAGGACAATTCACACAGCGCCATCTAGACCCACGTTAAGCTACCTAAAGCTTGTGTTATGGGTACTAGATAACTGATACAAGTACATAGATATTTTTTTTTTTCGTAAATACATACATATTATACATGGAAAACACCCAGACCGATACAAACAATCATACTCATGAATACAAATGTTTGTGCCGTGCGAGGAATCGAACCCGCGACCATCGGACGTAGGGAATGCAATCCCGATCCCGCGGGATCCCGGTCTCGCGAGATCTCGTGTAATTTTTCGGGATCAATCCCGACGCATCATCATGTCTTGTATGGATCGAGATCCCGTTCGAGACGACTGATGCAACTGAAATGAGAATGTTGAGGCGGATGTGTGGTGTGAAAAATGGATAAGATAAAAATGAATAATTAGAGGATTATATGGCACCGGTGTCAGAAGGTTGAAGAGTAATCGTCTATCAGATATTAATACGGCAAAATATTTTAAGAAAGATAATCGAAGATGACTGGTTATAAGGGCAGAGGAATGATTGCAGAAGATTTGAATTTAACGTGCTGCACAAATAATAAACGAAAAACATATTACAAAATAAATGGGATAGGAAGAGATGATGATGAATCGACGCATCATAAAAGTCCTTTTGCACGTATATCCACGTCCACGAGCTTATAATCAAATATCGTAAAGAATCTACCATTAAAATACGAAATGGATTTGTTTGAATTTGCAGAAGATGAAACTATTAATAAATCCTTTGTTTTTAGAAGAAGGAGTCATTTTCAAAATCCTTTTTTCCTATATCCACGTCCACGAGCTTAGAATTAAATCTTATTGTTTGTTTGATTTACCTGAATTTACCTACGTTTTTTAATTTTTCAAAATCACTTTTTTCAATTCCTGATTATTATTTTTTGTTGGTAAGATTAAAGAATAAAGGTTTTTATTTTCTTTCGAGTAATATGTTATTTTAGTTAACCTCACTATCACAAACAAGCAGTTATTAGCTTTTTCAGTCATCTGAATTCAATATTTTTTTTAAATTTAGACGGGATCCCGAAAATTCCGGGATTCCGCGGGATTGATATTTCTAATCCCGCGGGATCCCGAATTTGCAATCTCGAGTCGGGATTGCATTCCCTAATCGGACGTAAAGCGGTGTGCTAGACCGCTAAGATTTATCTTATTGGACAACTTCATTCAGTCATTAATTATCATATATGTACATATCTATACCTACACAGCATTTAATTTAGTTTAATTTTGGATTAAACGATTATAATATTTGAATGGTGAATTATTCGTTAATTGTTGTCTTCTTCGAATCTTTTTCTTATCAGTTATGAGTATTGTGAGTACTTAGAATTCTAAAATAATCAAGTAGGTTTACTGTATTTGTTACATGGTTTTTTATTTGATATAAAAGTGTGTTTAAATACTAGTTTTTATTTATCTTTTAAACAATACAAAAGTATTTTGGTAATTATGAATAAATAATAAACAAATTGTAGCAATTTTTAAGAAATTTTAAAAAGATTTCCCTATGTTTTAACAATACCTGATTATCTATTAAAGACATACCTATATGATATCTTTTAATATTATTAAAAGTAAATATAAGAATGCATAGATTATTTTTAGATAATATCGATGTTTTAATACTTCTATAGTTCCATAGATTAGTATGAAATTTCCTGTATTTTGGGACAATATTCTCCCACATAATTATTTACAAAAATGAGATACTCTGTTTTACGCCAGTTGAACATAATTGATTTTGGTAATAAATAAAACTCTGTTGTAAATAAAATAATGTTCAACTTTGCAAATATGTTTATCTAATTTTAATTTACATATTGAAGAATAACAAATTGCCTACTAGGTTTATGGTCTGGAATAATAGACAATGTGTTACCAATTACTTTTTGCCAGTACAATTTTAATACTTAATTAAAATTGCTATTAAAGTAAACAGTACAGGGCAGATGCTACGCGAAGCGAATGATGCTGATATGCAATATAGTCACGGTACTAACTAATATGAGATCTCTCGGCTTCTAAGAGAATTGGTTATGAATTAACTTGCTTATAATACTACACTTCATATTTTATGTATGTTTGATATATTATTACTTAGAATTGACATGTGATTTATTTATATATACCATGAACATATTGTAAAACTGAACAGACACAGATACAGGCACATACAGACGGACAAAACTAATAAAACACAATCTAATTTCTACTGATTGTGCTGTAGTTATTGTCTAATCTAAAATAGGTACTGGGAATAATCCATTGTCCCATATAATTTGTTTATGACAAATAAAATTGATTACATATACTAGGTAATATTATCTTATCTGTGCATAAACCGTACTTTATTCCAATGGTGTACAAAAAAAGTAGATGAATAGTATGTGTTTAGTGATGGCGTAAACATAGATTTAATTTTCGATCTCAATTTAACTTAACTCATGTTAGTATTAACATCGCGCATACAGCCATGACGCGCTCGTTATCCTACTACGGGCTGTGCGCCGTCCAACATTGTGCATCTGTGGCACATTACGTTTGCGAAGGAAAATATAACACTACAAAAAATGGCTTCTTCAGCAGACATACTAATAGTCT